ATCTTGGATTAAGGTTTACGACAAAAATTAAAATGGTTAAAAAAAATTCTCGTTGTTACATGTCAGGTCCCCCCACATAGAGGAATCGTCATTTGTGACAGTATTTGGGAATCTAGAATTCCAGTGGTGCTATGGTCGAGATAAGGTTGAAATTGAGTTGATAAGTTGATATTGCAAACTCTAGTTTATCATTGAATTCATTGCAATTACTATCAAGATAACTGAATTGATTGAGATACTTCTTGACTTTGCATAGTTCTTATACAGTGTCATCCTTACGATAACTTTGCAAGTTTTCGAGATACTTGAACCCTGATGTTTGAATGATGTTGTTTGTCTGGATCTGCACGACTCTCCTAATGACATCCATAAATGACTTGTTTCTGGTAATAGATGAACATTGCCTATGGCCCTTCTGCGCAAGAGTGTAGCACGAAGTATGAAGGACTGGGATGAGGAAAAACATAAAAAGGCTCGACTAAAATTGACTGCCATGACTATGTTGTGTATGATAATATTTATAGGTTTCATAAATAATTGCAAAATTAAAGATCTTATATTAATTGTACAATCTTAGAAATAATCTTAAACAATCAGAAAATTAACATTTCTATATCTCTATCCTCGTTTATTGCTTTCTCTAAAGAATAATGTTAATGGTACATAATAGAGTTATATAATTGTATACATACAGATGAGGTGTCAAAAAGAGAGTTTTTTTTTTTTATATTATTTTGTTGAAAATTTTTGACCCCCATCATATCTTATCATGTCATGTGTGTATTTAAATCATTATGTAAATTATTGCGTACATTAAACATAAACGCTAATCAAATGAAACTTAAATCCAAGTTAATAATCTAATAAGGCACTCTTACAATTTTAGTTAGATCTTTGTTACCCCCGAAATCAAAGGCTCTAAGTCAACACTCCACGTGGACAGCCACATACTCTCTGTAGCCAAGTGGACATAAAACCAATTGACAAGTCAGCAGAAAGGTCAGCACAATTAAGGTCAACAAAGAATGCAACTGTACGTGGTCATGCGAGTGCTGAGGCACTAGTCATCTAATGTCCTTCCGGCCAAGAAATGAAGACCTACTTAAGGCTCCTTAAGAGGAAGGCAGAGGTCCCTCATGTCCGAAGTACTAAAGCATCGAAGCTCAATCACATCAGATATCTATAAGCCCAAAGCTTACCTCAACGTGTGCTAAAGCCGACGTGGCCTCCCAACATATTCGAAGATCTCGTAGAACTGATTGATGAGACTTCTGTAATAAAGTGTCTGTAGCTTTTAATATGTCAGTGTGTCAGCTTATTACTAGCACAGTTGACCATTTGTCAAACATTGAATACGATGAATGGACAGTGATGTGAGTCTTTTGTCTAGGAGATATTGCCGCGTGGATGTGATCGGACGGTCACCACGTCGGTTAGGTTAGTATAAATAACCTCTCTTTGTACTAAAAACGGGGAGATGCAATCAAGAAATAAAGAATATATTTATACGCTTAGTTTTGTTTTACAAAACATAAGGAAGAACACATGTTGATATTCAAGGAATATACAATACATTTTCATATCTATCATTCCATATATTCCATTACGAAATGAGTAATTTAGTTAAACGGTTCAAGCATTCGTTGATAACGCAGTTACTTCTCAAACTTAATCGCCGGAGTCCGAACATTTGTGTCTCTCGCCGAAAAGTGCCTCCCACGTTCATTAATATCAAATCTTTGTTCCTATTCCGAAAGAAACGTGCCGAATCAGTACTTGACGTGGCGAGTGGGCCCGATATCCGTTGAGTTCATTTTTTGGAGTCAACAATCTTAATCTCGCAATTGATGATGCTTTGTCTAGGTCGACCGTGTATAATGACAATGATTATCTATTTTCATAAAATCAAACACAATGAGTTTTCTCCAAAACAAGACAAAATAAAAGATCCCATCGATTCTCTCATGATTCTTACAAATCTCTTCATTTCAAATCTAAAAGTCATATTTCTGAATCAAATGCGTGACACAATTCACCATTAATTGTGCCGTTGTTCCCGTTATTAATCCAATAAAGTCTAGCTCTCTAGCTATGCTTACGTATATTGATTACTTTAGAATTTTTAATATTTATTTTTTTGTCTATGTAACTATTTTTTCTTAGTTTTTTTCTTAAAAAATCCTTTCCCATGAACAAGATTAACTGCATAATACAGCATTAGCTAACTTCAATACGCAAGATTAACAATTAATCAATCGACAAATGACACATAATGGCCACATTTTTTATCCCACCAGTTTTTGCCTCCTAAGCTAACATTAAAATATGAGAAATCACTTCAATTATGCAAATATTTTCAAATCAAGTAGGAAATCCAAGAATTGATACTTCACCTAAAACAAAATTGAATTTATTATTCACTGTGTTCATCTTTTAGAGTAAACTTTCGTGTCGTTTAAATATAAAAGTAATAATATCGTAAAGTTACTCTTTTAAGATGAAATTTCAAAACTTGATTTAATATCAGAGTTTTAAAAGCTCAAAAAGAGCCGCTCGATCTATCTAAAGTTCAAAACTAGTAATTTGATCGATAAAATGCTCAAACGAGCAATCGAATTTTAAGATCGAACCGCCATTTTGCTTAAAAAGAAAACAATAGTTAAAATGTTAAAATTTGAACTAATTTTCTGAACTTTTAATAAAGAAATTCAAGACTCGATAATGACATCATAAATATGATAAAATAAAATGAACCGGAGCACCACTTGTGCCCTAAGCTAACATTAAAATATGAGAAACCCCTTCAACTATGCAAATATTCTCCAATCAAATAGGAGACCAAGAAATTTTGCATTCCAAATCTGAATGATTATCCCTTCTCATACGCTATACTTTAATGCCAAGATAACGGTGATTAAAATGCATAGTTTTCATGTCATATAATGCAAACGTGGTACGAATCCAACCACTGGTAATGTATTATTTGGCAGACACGTAGTCAAGAAAATCAAGATTCATGTGTCATAATTAATAAATTTTATGCGTACACCTGTAAGACAAGAAATTAACAAAATTAATGCATCTATATTTAGTGGGCCCAATTATTTGCATAAGATCAGGATGGACTTTTGGAAAATCATTTTTGGCCTCAATTCTGGAGTTTTGTACCAAAAGTGAAAATTACATATGAAAATGAAAACATACAGCTAGAACATTTGCAATGATTGATTAATCATGCAAAACTTAATCTTAACTAAACCATTACAAAAGCAAGAAATATTGGCTTAAATTAGATATCTTATCTACAATAATATTATAACAATTAAGTAAAGGTATGTCAAAACGATACCATAATTTAGATTTATTTTCCTTTGTATAGATATTGCAGAATTTTGTGCGATAAATTAAGTCACCAGGGCGAAAGTTACTCCATCGGTAAGAGGCTAATCTTCTCGTGGGCTTGCATCAAGGAGAAAATTTGGCGCTTTGATGTTTACTATTCATTATTTCGAACTGAAGTTCTCGACTTACTTGTGTATCTTTTAGGAATTAGGATTCAAGAATTACTTTGGGAGTAAATTCATTAAGCACGTGTTTGGTTTAGACAAAAAATTAGATTTTTAATAAATTTTGATAAAAGTTGATAAAATACGTTATTGAAAAGTTGATAAAAATTATAAGTCCCATAATATTTTGACTGAAAATGAGTATGAAAAAAAAATGAATTTTAAAAAATAAGAATCAAACGACACTAAATATTCAAATGAAAATACTTTGTGAGAGAGCATTTATTTATTGATTGTTGCATTATTTAATAGTGTCTATGTTGAACACCTTGATTGTATATTGCATTATATGAAATCAATCATGGATATTTACTAAGCTGTGTGCAATTCAGCAAATTCAGGAGTAGACCAGAAAACATTTCTTCATCATTAATCATACTTAATACGGTACACTGATTAAATGAAAAGGATAGACTACCAAAATTTGTCAATTTATGCATTGAATTTAACTTCATGTTTGATACACTTTCTTCTAAAAATACATTTTTCTCTCTTATTTTCAACCGCACAATTTTCAATAAAATAATATGACACGCAAATAATATTACCTTGTACTGTGACCCGGTTCGATGGCTCGTCTTATCTCACTCCCTCTACATATAAGTAAATCCGTTTATACTCAAAAGCATGTTCATTAAATTCCTGGTCAAATTACCTCTCACCCATCTCTTTTAAACTCATTCTCCTTGTTTCGACAATTGACTTGATAGTTAGAACGTAATAGTTGTTAAACTTTTCTAGAATACCCCTTTTTATATGCAAATGATGTATAAATTGAGGAGGAGATGGCCGATTCTATTGCCAATTAGTCTGACAAATTCTAAGGTCAACAATATTATTGATGAAATTATATTAAAATTATTTATTGTACAGTACCCTCCAACTACACATACTTATTATTACTCAATTATTAGCCTCCCTTGATTACAGTTCGGACCTGTCTATTTCCCTTAGAATCCCACCTATAAATTCACACACTCGCCAACTTCATGAAACGAAATCCAACGCCCCTTCAAAACCCAAATCTCTCCCTCTCTCTCTCCCTCTCTCCCCAACACCCCCACCGAACATCTCAACCCTCCGGAAATGGCAGTGCAATATCTTGATTTCCCAGAAAATCCATTATATTTGCATAAATTCAAAAAGCACCCTCAAAAAATTACAAATTTAAAATCCTTTTGGGCATTTCTGTTATCCATTTTCATCTACATTTCAATATTTTATATTTTTAATCTCTCCCCTTCCACTGTTTTAAGTACCACCAAATTCTGGTTTTTTATATCAAACACCCTTATTCTCATCATCGCAGCTGATTTTGGCTCTTTCTCTGAATCAAAAGAGCATGATTTTTACGAAGAGTACATTAAAAATGCTAGAACAAGAGATATTTCATCCTCCAGAACTCAAAAAACCCCAGATGATCAAAAAGAAGAAATGGCTGATCAGAAATTACCCGAAGAAAAGATTATAGAAATGGCAATGCATGTGCCAGTGGCTCATAAGAATACTGAAAATAAGGAAGAAGATAAACAGATAATTACAACCAACGAGAACGTTGAAAATGTGAATGAAAAAAAGCAAGAAATTGATCAGAAAGAAGGAGCTGGCCAAGAGAAGGAGACGAAGAAGAAAGCGAAATGCGTTCGCTTTAATTCTAAGAAAATAATAATCGCTCCAAAGGAAGAAGAAAAATTTGTCTTGCAGAGGTCACTGTCTGATATGGATGAAGGGAGGGTCGAGGAAAATGAGTTTTCGGCCATGTCGGACGAGGAACTGAATAGAAGAGTTGAGGAGTTCATTCGAAGGTTTAACAAACAGATTAGGGATCAGGCTGTCAAAAATAAGCATTGATAGTTCTAGGAAAATGATATTTCCAGAATCTGAATGTAACTGTCGCTTTTTTCATTTTGTTTGTCTTGTCTTTGTTTCTTTTCAGTGGAGGGCTGTAAATTGAAGGTTGGTTTTATGTCAATTGAAATTAATAATCTTGAGGAGTTCGAACTATTATTATCCATCCTTTATTGGAAAATGAGCAATCTGTCAAAAATACCTTACAATGGTCGGGTAAATTATGTCAAACTCGAAATACATGTTGAGATTTGGAGTTTCATTTAAAAGTTAATTTATTAGGTGGAGTACAACCCTCTCGTAAACTTACAATTCATTCTATATCTAGTCATTGTAGAACTTTGCTCCCTATGAATAAGGTCACATGACCTTGATCCCTTTAAGCAATAATTTATTTGCCTTTTTCCTAAAATCAAGAAAGATCATATGCATCATCAACGCCCAACTCTTCAACCGTGTCATGGGCTACAATTTTTTTTTCCGGCTATTATGATTCAATAGGGGACTCACCCGTTGCATTTGTTCATCTTGAAGCATCCACAAGGTTAAGTTTGGGATTTATGTCTTATAAAACTATTATGTGCTTGTGTTTAGCTGATGTAGGGCTTCATTTGCCTTTTCACGACAATTTTCTCTTTTAAAACGTCGATTTTATCCTATTTAATTTAGAATAGGACTTCTTGTTTTGACCTTCAACTTCTTCCAATGGGGTATTGCTTGCCACATCCCCGAGCTGCTCCCATTCCGTCTCCCAAATTGTCATTAACATCTCTTTCCTCTCGTACAAAATAATTGTCTTCTATCTTGTCAATTTAAAATATCAAAACGTATTGTACTAATTCTACAACAAATCAAGAGATCGAGGAGTGTATCATATACGTGAATGGACAGTTGAATGATTGCGATTGAGATGGACGCACATGAAATAATTTGATGCATATATGCATAGATAAATTCTAAGAATGCAATAGCAGAGCTAATTTCCTGTTCAAACGACAATAATTACTCGTGCCTTGAAAGTACTTGTTTGTCTCTTCTATCAATCTTGTTCCTCACCTGTGGGATTTCATGGAAGTCAGCATCGGACTAATTGATCCTGCTGGTACATTAAATATACTACTATTAAACAATTATTGATTCATAAAAAAAACATGGAGTACTCATGACTCGTGAGATTTCATGTGGGAAGAGAATATAAATAAATAATTGTCTTTTTTAAATAATTATATTTGTACTCGATGATCAATAGATTTTTAGACAATCAATCATCAATCATTAAAATGCAATTTGGCATATCCGGATTTTGAAGAATTGATAAGAGAAAGGAAATAGTGATCAGCATTCAACCCTCGTGGTTACGTGTGTTTCTCTCTTGTCATTTTCATTTGGTGTGGTGTGGTGTGGGATGGTGTGGGATGGGGTGGCGTGGGGTGGGGTTTAGGACGTGTCCTTCTCCTAATCAAATGGGGAGTAAACCTACAAAATCAGTACTTCCGAGTACTATTTTGTGGACCCTTTTACCCAAGGATATCTCCGAAGTTCAATGTACTTCTTGTTGGAAATGGATCAAATTTGACCAATAATTCGGGTGGGACCCGGTATCCGTTTTGTGTGGGTCCATGGTCAAACGCATTCTACTCCGCGAGTAGATATTCGTGATATATTTAATTTCACAAAATCATTTCCGGATGAATGAGAAATTAAGGCTAGAAGTCGACAATTTGAAAGTAAAAATTTTGGAATTTAAAATCAAGTGTGGGAACTTTATCCCACATAGGAAGTTGAAAGAATTTTGAACCAATTTGTATACCTCAAGTTTGGATATGTGTTTGGGCCACAAGAGGTACCAATAGTATTTGAAATGAGGAAATCTTAAACAATGTCTAGACTAGTCCAAAGCCCCCACGTATCGGGTTGGGTGTTGTGGTTGGTTCCTATATTCTTTTTGGACAAAATAAATTAAAATTATTTATTTAATTTATTTTTATTTTCGAAAATTGATTAAGTGGAAATGTGTGTCTTTTCAACGTATTCGAAACTGTTCGGACTAAAACGGACACAGACTCATAGTTGTGTCTCTTCAAGAATAACTTTTAAGGAGTTGCAACTCTTGGCTTGCAGATTTTAGAAATCTATAAATTGGACCCATGATTTTCGAATTTCATTCATTCAATATCATTATTCTCTTCTCTTGCATTCTGCATAAACAAATATATTTTCATTAAGTTCAGAGAGTACGAAACTTTTTCTGATTCGCTATTCTTGCTGTTAGAGTGCTTCTACACACCGTAACAGGCCAAAATCGTCTTAAGGAAATAGAGTCGAACTCTAGCCTCAATCTACTGTTTTCTACAATTTCGTTGAGGGATTATTTGGTTTGCCATTTCCTTCTCTTAATTCTGATTTGTTACATATCTCGCGTGCTAAATAATATTTCTAACAATCTTAAAACGATTTTTGTTTGTTTTATTATTTGCATGCGTTTATATAATTCGTATTGAACGTGACTTTTGGGTGTATTCATTTATTATAGTTTACATGCATAAACTGGTTATTTAAATGTCGTCTATTTTAAATCCGATTTTGCAAAATTCATATTAATTACATAATATTATATATATATATTGTGTTTTCGGGTAACTTATAGTTTGACCCAACTTTTATAATCTATTAATCGATTCTTTATAATCATTGCCAATACTTTGATTATAATTATTTATCTGCTATTTTCATAACAGAAATGGATGTAACAAGTGGAAGTAATGTAATTTCCCCTATTGGAACCAACAGTACTACGGTTCTATCTATAACTGTTCCTATTCAAACCACTCCGGTTTCACATGGAGAAAAATCGAAAAAATTTAGTGGAATGGATTTCAAAAGATGACAACAAAATATGCTATTTTATTTAACCACACTGAATATGGCAAAGTTCCTAACTGAGAATGCTCCGGCGGTTCAAGAAAGACCAAACAATAGGAAGTCCCTTATTACCTTGGATGCATGAAAGCACTCGAACTTCTTATGCAAAAATTATATTCTCAATGGGCTGGACAATACACTATATGGCGTTTATAATGCTATGAAATCTACAAAAGAACTTTGGGAGTCTTTGAAGAAAAAAAATACAAAACGGAGAATGCTGGTACAAAGAAATTTATTGTTGGAAAATTCCTCGACTACAAAAGGGTGGATTCCAAGACTATTATTAGCCAAATTCAAGAACTGCGGGTTCTCCTTCATGATATACATGCTGAAAACATGACTTTCAGTGAATCATTCCAAGTGGCTGCCATAATTGAGAAACTCCCTCCTCTGTGGAGAGATTTCAAAAATTATCTCAAGCACAAACGGAAGGAAATGAATCTAGAAGAATTAATTGTTCGGCTGAGGATTGAAGAAGATAATAAGAAATCAGAAAAGAAATCTGGAGGACAGTTTGTGCAAGAAAAGGCAAACATGGTGGAATCGAGTTCAAAGAAGAACAAGAAAAGAAAGTTTTCTGGTGATGTTCCTAAGAAGGACAATAAGAAGAATGCTAAGAAGTTCAAAGGCAGCTGCTACAACTGTGGAAAAACTGGACATCGTGCTAGTGAATGTCGCAATCCAAAGAAGCAGAATGCTCAAGCACACATGACTGAAAGAGATACCTTATCCAATGATATACAAGAACTGAACTTGTCTGCTGTTGTATCTGAATGCAACAATATTGGAAATCCCAGGGAATGGTGGGTAGATACTGGAGCTACCCGTCACGTTTGTGCCGACAAAGGGATGTTCTCTAATTATAATGCCATCAATGGAGAACAGTTATTTATGGGAAACTCATCAAGTTCAAAAGTTGAAGGACAAGGAAAGGTGGTGCTGAAAATGACTTCGGGCAAGGAACTCGTCCTCAACAATGTGCTGCATGTGCCCGACATTCGCAAAAATCTTGTATCCGGGGCTTTACTTAGTAAACATGGTTTTAAATTAGTCTTTGTGGCTGATAAATTTGTACTCACCAAAAATGATGTATATGTGGGGAAAGGTTACTTGAGCGATGGGATGTTCAAAATGAACGTCCTCACTATTGTACCAAAAACTATGAAGAATAATTATACATCTTCTTCTGCTTATATCATTGAGTCTTCTTGTTTATGGCACAATCGATTAGGACATGCAAATTTTAAATCCGTTCGTAAATTAATGAACTTAAATTTACTGCCTTCTTTACAATTTGATCCTAACCATAAATGCGAGATTTGTGTTGAGGCTAAATTAGCCAAAGCTCCTTTTCATTCTGTTGAAAGGACTACTACACATTTAGAATTGATTCATAGTGATATCTGTGACTTAAAGTTTGTGCAAACTAGAGGTGGTAAAAAGTACTTCATTACTTTTATTGACGATTGCACAAAATATTGTTATGTCTATCTTTTAAGAAGTAAAGATGAGGCCTTAAATGTTTTCAAACAGTATAAGAATGAAGTTGAAAATCAACTTAGCAAACGAATAAAGATTATTCGAAGTGATAGAGGTGGAGAATATGGAGCACCGTTTGAAGAATTTTGTTCTACTTTTGGAATTATTCATCAAACAACGGCGCCTTATTCACCTCAGTCAAATGGCGTTGCTGAACGTAAAAATCGAACTCTTAAAGAGATGATGAACGCTATGTTGATAAGTTCTGGTTTGCCTCAGAATTTGTGGGGGGAAGCTATCCTCTCTGCAAATGTCATTCTTAATAAAATACCTCAAAAGAAAAAGGATGAAACTCCTTATGAGCTATGGAAAGGTCATAAGCCTACATATAAACACTTAAAAGTGTGGGGGTGTTTGGCTAAAGTAGAAGTACCTAAGCCTAAACAAATTAAAATTGGGCCTAAAACTATTGATTGCATATTTATAGGATATGCTCATAACAGTAGTGCATATCGGTTCCTTGTTCATAAGTCAGACATTTCAGATGTACACG